TGGCCCTTCAGGCTCCCTCCAGATGCTTCTAGAAGGAAGGTGGGGAAGGCGGGAGGGAGAGTGTGGTGAGCAGATGCCCTCCCCCTGCAGGCCGGCCCAGACTTCCATCCCCAATCTGGCTCCACCCCCACCGACGCCCCTCTTCGGCATCTGTCCTAAGGAGGAGGCTAGTAAAAGCCGGGGTGGGGGGCAGGCTCCGCGGGCTCCAGGCTTCCTGGCTGGCTCGCTCTCCGCAGCCGACCCCCATCAAGCACTTCCTACTCCAATGCTTACATTTAAATTAAGTAAAATTTAGAACATCTGAGTTTCAGTTCCTCACCCTCAATGGCCGTTTCTTTTTTTTTTTTTAAGATTTTATTTATTCACTTGACAGAGACAGTAAGAGAGGGAACACAAGCAGGGGGAGTGGGGGAGGGAGAAGCAGGCTTCCCGCGGAGCAGGGAGCCCGATGCGGGGCTCGATCCCAGGAGGCTGGGATCGTGACCTGAGCCGAAGGCAGAACCTTAACGACTGAGCCACCCAGGCGGCCCTCACTGGCCATCTCAAGTGTCGGATGGCTACGTGGGGCTCGCAGACGCTGACCGGGTGGTCAGAGAACATCTCCACCTGCCGGCAGGAAGCTCTGGTAGCGCCGCTCACATTTGATCTCACTGACCCTTCACAACAACCCGATGACGCAAAGGTAATCATTTATCCACCTTAGACACGAGCACCCTAAGGTCTCAGCAGGTTCGGGTCTGGAGCGAGGACTGAAGCTCAGAGGGACAGCTCCAGGCTGCACCGCGCTGTCCCTATGCCCAGAGCTGCCCCTAATCCCAACTGCTGTGCTCGCCCCTCCCTCTCATGTGAGTGGGACTGACTTCCCGGTGCTCAACAGCCACTGTCCCTCAGGGCTGACCCTGACTGATGGGAACACCTGGGATTTAAGCACCCCCCTTTTTTTAAATTAAAGTGTAGTTGTCATGCAGTATTATATTAGTTTCGTCTGTGCAACAGAGGGAGTCACCAGCTCCGTACATTATGAAGCGATCACCAGGATAAATGCAGCTACCATCTGCGGTCACCATACCAAGTAGTTATGTATTATTAACTACATTCCCTATGCTGTACATTGTCCCCCTTCATATTTATTCACAACTGCAAGTTTGTACCTTTTAATCTCCTTCCCCTATCTTGCCCTTCCCCCCACCGTCTTCCTCTGGCAACCACCAGATTGATCTCTGTATTTATGAGTTGTTTTTTTTTTTGAATTTGTTGTTGTTCATTTGTTTTGGTTTTTGGATTTCACATATAAGTGAAATCATGCTGTATTTGCCTTTTTCTCTCTCTGACTTATTTCACTTAGCATGATACCCTCTGGGTCCATCCATGTTGTCAAAAATGGCAAGATTTCATTATTTTTATGGCTGAATAATATTCCATTGTGTATATATACCACATCTTCTTTATCCATTTATCTATCAATGGACACTTAGGTTGCTTCCATAGTTTGGCTATTGTAAATAATGCTGCAATGAACATAGGGGTAACATATATCTTCTCAAATTAATGTGTTCGTATTCTTCAGATAAATACCCAGCAGTGGAATTGCTAGATTGTATGATATTTCTATTTTTAATTTTTTGAGGAACTTCCATACTGTTTTCCATATGCACCACTTTGCGTTCTCACCAACAGTGCACGGAGGTTCCCTTTTCTCCACATCCTTGCCAACATGTGTCCTTTGAATAAGGCCCTTCCAGCCAGATGTGAGGTGATATCTCATTATGGTTCTGATTTACATTTCCCTGATAATTAGTGATGTTGAGCATTTTTCCTGTGTCTGTTAGCCACCTGTATGTCTTCTTTGAAGAAACATCTGTTCAGAACCTCTGTCCATTTTTTAATTAGATTGTTCGTATCTTTTATATATTGAGTTGTATGAGTTCTTTATATATGTTGCATATTAACCACTTATCAGTTATATCATTTGCAAGTATCATCTCCCAGTAGGTTGCCTTTTCGTTTTGCTGATGGTTTCCTTTGCTGTGCAGAAGCTTTTTAGTTTGATGTCCCATTTGTTTTGTTTTTGTTTCCCTGACCTGAGGAGACACATCCAAAAATATATGGATAAGGGGCACCTGGGTGGCTCAGTCAGTTAAGCGTCCAACCCTTCGTTTCACCACAGGTCATGATCTCAGGGTCCTGGGATCGAGCCCTGCATTGGGGTCCCTGCTCAGCAGAGAATCTGCATCTGTCCTTGTTCCTCATCCTCTGCCCCTCTCCTCTCTCTCTCTCGCTCAAATAAATAAATAAATAAATCTTAAAAAAATATATTGCTAAGACCAATGTCCCAGAGCTTACTACCTATGTTTTCCTCTAGGAGTTTCATGGTTTCTGGTCTTACATTTAAGTCTTTAATCCATTTTGAGTTTATTTTTGTGTATGGTGTAAGAAAGTGGTACAGTTTCATTCTTTCTCATGTAGCTATCAGGTTTTCCCAACGCCATTTATTGAAGAGACTATCTTTTCCCCATTGTATGTTCTTGCCTCCTTTGTCAAAGATTAATTGACCATGTAAGTATGGACTTATTTCTGGGTTGTCTATTCTGTTCCACTGATCCAAGTCTATTTTTCTGCCAGCACTATACTGTTTTGATTACTATAGCTTTGTAGTATCATTTGAAGTCAGTGAGCATAATGTCTCCCACTTTGTTCTTCCTCAAGATTGCTTTGGCTAGGGCGCCTGGGTGGCTCAG